TGGTTTTATCAGCACAACACAGCAATCTTATTGAGTTAAAAAATTTCCCGCCAATTTTTTCAACAAAATAAACAACAACACAGCCTGGACGACGACAGCAACGTTGTTAGCGAAGCAATGTTCACGGCAACGTGAGAGACAATCGAAAAGACTGAACTAATATGAATAGGGCAGCGGCATATGTTAACCAATGTGACTTGGCGACATGTGCTTAAAAATGATTGAAGCAAGCGTTAATGCAAAGGGAAGAGAAAATATAACAAATAAGTGAAGAAATATACAATTTTCTATTTATGTCCTCTGGTGTTGTTGTTATTATTGATTATGTTCATTCACATGATACTAATCAGTTCTTTTTTGCCGTCGAAACAACGTTGCTGTTGTTTAATTGCCGGCTCATATACTTATATTTACTTGTATAAATACATATAGTATATTGTGCAAAATGAAGGCAACCTTATTTGAGTCTTGACGGCATTGGAAGTTCTACTATTTATACTAAAATCTGTTCAATTTATTTTAAAATATCAAAGAAGTATTTTTAGATAATTACTTAAAATAAAAATTAATTAAAAATTTCTCGCAAAATATATTTGATTTTCTCAAAACTTTAGGGAACAAACACATATTTATTAAATCTAAAAAAAAGACCACAAAGCAAGATCTTCGCAATTTATATTTATAAAAATGTTATTTTTCAAGTTTAAATTAAAATAATCTTTAAGGTCGTTCTCCACCAACTCATTTGAATTCGTTTCGCTTAATCAGCAAATTCTTTCATGCCGGTAAAATACGTAACAATGCTTCCTCGTGTATAATTTCTTTAAACGTGCTTTCTATTGTTTATCATAATTAAAAAACGCGCGAATATTAAGATACCATCAACTAATATATTTTTTTCACCAAACCACATATGTGAATGCGCGCGTAAATTCAAACAATAACCTAAATCAAAAGGTGCTCTCTGTTTTCATTTCGAAAACCCGACACAACCTATTGGCAACATTATAGATAGGCATGAGCAAAAGTCATAACGGCAACACTATTTTTGCTGAGCGCATGCAATTATTAGTAGTATAATAGTTCTGCCACCATGGATACTTCAAAGTATCTTTTTAACTCTTACCCATCGCTCTTAGCAAATGAGCATTGCAGAGAGTTGTATATAGGCATTATATAGTAGAGAGGAGAACATGAGAGAGCCTGTCTATATACCGATAAATATAAGGAGAGTACAAAAATTAGCGCATTGAAATAAAATGGTGGCATAATGCTAATCGAATAGAACGAGACAGCATGTTATGAGGAGAGCACAAGGTATGGCGATTAACAAAAGAAACGAGGCTAAAAAAAGGTAAAGTGAAACGAAACGAGTCGCAGGCAGTAAAAAAAAATACACACAGTTATATATACAAATATATATATATGTATGTATATATGACGGTATACAATATAGTCATTTTAGCTTTTGCATTATACTGTACTTTGTTATATGGATGGAAAAATTCGTGTAAACTATATATGTAGCGAAGGAGGGGAACGACGAAAGAGGACAAATTGTTAATAAATTTGCTTATTGCAGTATTGCTGTTGCTTGTTGTGCTAAAATTGCAAAATTCACAAAATTTTAATAGAGTGTACATATGTATGTGAGAATTTGTAGGTTTAATCGATAGTTTGTAGAAGCCTAAAGGAATTGAGGGAATACGGTGTATACTAGACAAGTGAATACAAGTTTAGATGGCTGCAAATAGAAATTAATGTCATAGAAAGTGCATTAATGCAAATAAATAAATGCAATGCATACAAATATAATAGGCAGTAGTGAGGAGGGCAGATTTGCCGACATATGCACGAACGATGAAGCAAAACGTTACGCAATTTAAATAAGTTTACTACGTTTTGCGCGTCTCGATAATAAATTTGATGAGTCACTGGGGCAACTATTTACAAACACAATAAAATACTTAGTGTACTATTTATTTTACTTGCACTATTTTATTAATGAATAGAGAAAGCCTTTTGCAAAATGGAGCTACAGACGTTCGCTTGTATTTTTGTATGTACAATGTAATAATTATAAATACAATTTTTTTTTAATATAAAGCACTATTTTTACATTTAAATAACATTAACACGTATGGTCCACACATCAGGTAGTAGCACTGAATTTGTTATTGTTTCTTGGGTAATTATGTTGTTAATTAACATATGTATTTCGTGTTCAATATTTCTTTTACTATTGATTTCAAGAATGCGAGCTTATAATCTAGTTTACAATCCATTAGAGTATATTTAAGTGAATTTTACCCAATAAAATATTAACTCACTCAAATAACACTGTCGAATTAGAATTAAGAAGAGCAATTTATCCAGAGGATGTATGCATGAAATTAAGATTTATATCTCCGAAAGGAAAATATAAATTAAAAAAACACAAAAATCTATTGGTCGCCGTGAAGACAATGTATTTAGGTTGGATGAATGTTATTAGGTTAGCGACTTTTGCCACCAAAAAATTTAAATATTTATTAATGAACACAAAATTTTCCTTAAAACTTCTTGCATTTCCGCAACTATATTAATTAATTATTTAAGGAACACAGCACATTATATGTAGAATACTTCGTGTTTCCTAAAAGCACTTCTAATACCGTTTTGATTTGATTTATTCGTTTTTTATGCACTTTATTTAAGATGTTATATCATATTTAATTATTATTTAAAACACCATTTCTGGTTTTCGTAATGCAACACAACACGTATTGATATCCAACTTTTAATAATTCACATTTTATCCAATTAGCATTAATTAATTATATATTGCGTTGAATTTGTTATATAGTTTCCTTGCACACCGAWATGTCAGAGCACAGCTACGTGGGGAAATATAGGTACATACTATTTATAATTTATAAACGAACTACAAACCAATAAATATACTCAAACAAAAAATACTACATAAAAATCAAAAAATAACTCCAAAATAAATAATAAATTAAAAAACAAAAGTAAAGTTGGTAGCGAATTAATTGTTGTCATTGCACCAGCGCGAAGATCACACACCTTTCTCATTAGCGCTTGTCGTTCAGTTCCATTGATTAATTTATATTTACATATGTATATAAACAAATGTATATGCAAATAATGTTTAGCTAATAAACACGACGTCGTATATAAGATACCAAAATGATAACACACGGTATCATCTTATACTATCGCGTGGCATCTAAGTTTTTCGATATGTTATGTGAAAAATATGATAAGATGAGCGATTATCTGCGACGCGATTAGTAGATGTGACGTTGCTACTTTCATTTACGGGAAACTTTGCGCGATTCCACAAGCCCATCACTACCACCAGTTGAGAGCGTCAGCTAACCGAAACCGAAAACCTGTCAATTCAATCAGCAAAACTCTAAAGTTTCTAATAAGTGCAAAACTCAACAAATAATACAAAATAAAAACACCTGAGCCCATATAGTCAAATAATGCCAACGAAAACCGCAAACAGTGTAAAAATCTCTACATGTGAAGACATATGCATACACATAGATATTTGTACAACCGTATATATTGTAATTTTTCACATGCGAATTTTACGATTTGTTCAGCGATGTGCGTGCGCCGCGGTCGCTGCGCTGTCATGGCGCACCCCGGCTGATCGCAATATTGCAGTCACACAGTCATAAATGCAGTCATAGGAAGGCAGACAGACAGACGCGTCTATGTACGATAATTTAACCGCCGTCTGGGCAAAACGTAAACATTTTAACCCATACCAATATCCTCTTCTTAAAGCACATACTTCTGTTGCATGTGGTTTTATCGGTATTGATTGATTTGTTATGGAGGTATGATTTATTTTATAATTACAATTAAATTCTGTAATTAGTAATTGTAAATAAAACTATACATACATACATATGTAAGCAACAAATGTCACAATAATTATGGCGTCCTAACTAGTGGAAAACTATTAATAAATAAGTAGCACGATTTGCTTTACAAAGCAGTTACTTAGTTTAAAATTAAAAATTATATTTTATTAAAATAAGCCTCTTTTCATCAAAGTTAGGTAGATGTTATTTAAGTTCTGCTTTAGTCTTAGGCTCTTCATTGGACTCTATAGTCATATTTGTCTAATTCCACCATAATGATAATCAAAGATTGAAATTTATTTCCTTAAAATCGCCCGTTTTCAAACCGAGAAGCCAGTCTTTCAAATTACTTGACACAAATTTTGAAAAAAAAAGTTGTGGACAAAACAATAATGTGCAAATAAACTGTCGCAAATGACTCCTACATTAAAAATAAAAACATTTACCGGCTGAATGTACATTGTTTATACATATGATTAGCAGCAATAAATACTAATGTACACTTATCTAACGTCGGCGTACAACAAAACAAATAGAGGGCGGGCAACGAAAACCGGAAACATGGTTAAGCTAATTCTCAGGAGGCATAGCGTCCATCGGTTCCTAACCGTATCAATCAATATGCGTATATGAATACATATTGCTCACTTGCGCGCTTTCGATTTCTCCGATTGACATTCTCAATTTCGATTGATGTCGCGACGCGTCCACTGATGACTGCTAACAGTCGCGTTGAATTCGGCGGAATAATGATGTTATTGCAGTCGCGTTAATGATGCTTTCTCGGATAGCATGAACGACATTGTAGTTGCTGATTTGATAATGATAAGAGCCGTGTCAGCATTGCATTATAAGTAGGAGGGCTGACGCAGTGCCAAGAATGTAACATATGTAAGCCCTATAAATTCCATATTCATATACTGTCATAATGAAATATATATTAAAACCGAGACGCGACAATGCGCAATACAACAAAACATCCGCGAGTTCACCAACGCCGACGCCGACGTCAACGACAACAAAATCATCGCACCAAATCAAATAAAAATCAAAACAAAACGAACAACAAAAAAAAAAACCCATACACCAAAAACTCGTATAAAATAAATAAAAATTTACCTGAATCTGATGAAAGTGCTCCATACTGCAACTATATGTTGTGTTGTTGCTGCTGCTGCTTTACTGCGTCACTATAATTGTTGTTACTGCTGCTGCTGCTGCTGTAGTCGTTATTATTACTGTTGTTGTTGTTATTGTTGTCGCTGTTTCCTATGTTGCTGCTGCTAGCTGTAATAAGGCTTTAGCTCTATACACAAATGCTATGGCTATACTTTATTTAGGCGTTTACGTTGCGTTGTTCAACAATGTGCCGCCGTTCGCCACTCCACGTATTATAAAATTATACAATACCAACAATGTATTCGAATGCTGCTAATGCCGCTTGCACAGCACACGAAGAATAAAAATGTCTCTGTCTCTCCTCTCACTCCTTTGTACGCTCTCACACACTACTTTCGTTGTGCGTCTACTAACAACACTCGTGATAGATATATATTATATGGGGGGGATCGCTTAGGGGAAATATTCGCGCGCGCGACGACCCTCTTTTTTCACTCCTTCACAGAGTTCTTTTACAAACACTTCACCAATTCGCTTTATGCAATCACATACAAAACCACTTATTTGTTTTTACGCATATAAAATGAGTCTCTGCTTTTAGTTTTCTCAACAATTTGTGCGACGAAAAAGGAAAAACCACAGGCACTCACTGTTCACTTGCTTTACTTTGTACACCCGTTCGCCCCGTCGTACAAAAATGATATATTAAAGTTTCCTCTACAACACTCTACTTCCCTTCAATAATGTTTCACGTAGTTACACTCTCTCACCCTCTCTCTCTCTGCACGTTTCAATACTCACAAATTCCAACAAGCATTCGCACATATAATAAATTGCGACGATACTCAGTTGGTATGCGCTGTTTTTTTTTGTTTTCCCTATACGCCTGTTTCGTTTCGCCTATAGTTTGTAGCTCAAGATAGCTCTATGCACCGATTCTGTAATAGCAATGCTCGTTACTATGACTATACTGTGGGTACAGCTTTGCCCCTGGTCTATAGCATGTATTGTGTATAATGTCGTTTCGTATAACCAGCCGTTACGTTACTCCTCTATAGCTGGCTCTGCTGCTGCTGCGTTCGCTGCCGCTACTGTACACTTCACTGCTATCCGCATATGCAATCGCTTATGGTCGTATTCCGCTGCGTCGTCGTATTTCTCACACGAGTATCGACGTCGTAGCCCCGTGGTCCGTATAGCCGTTGTATATTGTATTTTTATATTGTAGAGTCGACGACGTCTATAGCTGACTGCTATGGCGTTGCTGCTTCTGCTACTTTGCAATGCTATTCAGGCAATCTCGCCTATATTTTTGCTTCGCGCTGAATTGCTTGTTGTGAATTGTATAATCTCCAACAAATGCGCTGCCGCTTGCTTTGCTTTTACTGTGCCGTAGTCTTGTATACTGTGTATGGGCTGAGCTGATAGTCCAACCGTTTACCGTGTGCTTGCTTGCTTGCTATAGCTCTATAGTGGATTCAATGCTTGTCGCTTCAGCTATATTGAAAATATAACACAATACACACAGATCGTCGTATACCAACAACGAATGAACGTATGAATGCTATGGCAATTGCCTTTGCAAAGGCTATTGAATTCAATTCGGAATAGTGGCTATATGCCCGCCGATGCCCGTTCGTCGTTGCTTCTACTCTTCTATCTGCATTGTTTACAAAAACAAAAAACAATACTCTCCCTCTCTGCGGTGCTCTTGTATTATAACCATACTCTTACCATAATTTAAATGTGCTCTCACTAGGCAAGTAAATACGTTACACATTGGGTATATGACACATGCGGCGTTAGTATGTGTGTTATATGCATTAATAGCTTATATGCTTTATACTATTTGTTGTTGGATGCTAAAATTTGTTACTGTTTTTTAGTATATTTTGTTGCCTTTCGTAATTTTAACGCTGCTGCTGTTGTATATGCCTTTTGCCATAAAGGAGGCTAGAGCGCGCCAATTTCAGTTTTTTCTATCCCAAAGCGAACATACTAGTATGTCAATTTGTAAGTATGTATGTGGCCGACCGCCAGCAATTTCAAATAATATAGTAAATATATACACTTCTTCAACATGCTGAATTCGTTCCTATTCGTTCGCACTCGCATAAAATCATGACTGGTCGTTCACTTCATCAGACTTTTATCTACTATTAAAATTGAACCGGACTAGTCCTAGGTTGGTAGAATTTTGTATTTATTTTGTTTACGGCACGAAATCTACTAAAAGTTAAATACTGCTACTTTTGTAATCTATATATTCTTATTATGTAGTTTATCGATTTTGTCTACCTACGCTGCACCTTCTCATTTACATTTTATCCTGTTCCCAAATTTCATATAAGTGCTACATTAAAAGAAGTCTGAAAAGATTGAGGCGCAAAGGAGACTTTTATACAAAGAACTAAATTAATTTGGGATCGAAGCCCATAGAAAGTTGATTGAAAGATTATAATACAAATAATATAAATAAAATAATATATAAAAATTTTGTTAAAAATCGAAGTCAAATTTGATCAGCTTAGTGCTGCTAATTTATTGTTGTTGTTTGTAGGTTTTTCAAATAGACGAAGTGAAGAGCGCGCCAAATTTCAGCATTTTTTCTTCGCAAGCCCACTATACTCATGGGATACATACAATATGCTGAATTCGTTCTTATTCATTCGCACACGTTTCAGATATTTTTGTTTGCTTTCTGCTTCATATTATGTGCTAAATTGCTGAGTTCAATAAAATATAAGGCGTACTGCAGGGGGATCGCTTAGAGATATAATACTATGTGTAAATTAGTGACGACCATATTGCGATTTTTCGATATCTGTGATTTCAATGTTTGCTATTTTTAAATTACTTTGATTTTAGATTTGTATAGCGATCGTAACTAGAACAACTTAAATATGAAAACATTTGCACTATATATTTATTTTTTAGATTCATCACGGAAGCTTTCAAATTTGGTTATTGTTAATATATAATTAAATTAAAATAAAAAAATTCCATAAGCAGTTGCAATTCTTAACTAGGATATGTTTTTAACACTCGCATTTAAATCTCATATCAATGTTGTAGGAATTGTAGGAATTATAGTTTCCGATATGTACGAGAGATGTCTACATAAAGTTTGTTATAGTTTATTCCCGATTAAAAAATTTTTCCCTATAATCATTCTCGGTTTTCTCACCGCAACCATGATCATACCCAACTAAAGGTAAAAAGTTTTGTTATTTGAAGAAGACTCCAAAACAGCATAATTAAATTGTATTGTTTTAAATTATACAGCTCATTATTTGCTATTTATTATTAATATTATATACCTTCTGATCAAATATGAACCGGACTGCCAAAAAACAAATTTCCCGTATTTTTATACTAATCTTTCTTAACGCCATTAAAATAGGCTCGTTTTGAGAATGCGACTCACTCATTCCAATTTCCCATATATTTGTTATTAGCCTAGTTTTTCTGACTTACGCTCATTTCTGTAGCGCTATTTGCCAGATTGTTCAACAGTTTTAACGTCAAATTTATAAACCCGTAATTAGTAATAATGTGTTTGATGAATTTAGGGTCTTAAGCTACGATGCCAGACAAACATTTCGCATCTTCAACAATCAGCTGTCAAACATACATACATTAATTAGCATTTCTAAAAAGTTTTATACTAAACTAGGAGCGAAAAATTCATCAGTTCGATTTGCGCGCGCAGTTTAAATGCACCAGTCCGAGTCATTTTTGATCATATGGTAGCATACGCGTATAAGAATGCGTCATTGGACTCCCCCTTAAAATTTTTCCCCACCATTTCTTTCATTTCTGCTAAAAAAATATTTTTCAATTTACACCAAACCCACATATGTATTTGCTGAATCTTTCACACTAAAAATTCCAATTATACTCATGTTTTCTCGCTTACCCTTTATATATATTGAAGTTTATTAGTCAAGCGATACACTTTACCAGAGAGTTGTGAGTTTGTGCGTACTCTCTTATGGCTCTTCAGAAATTTTGTGGCAAATAATTGAAAGAATGAGAGGCGAGAGTTAAGAGTGGATATATCTGTATTATTGAGTTTTTTAAGAGTAAAGGCGATACAAACCGAGTTATAGTTCAAACGCGCCGTACAAAATTCACATAATGGCCGCTTGTTGTCGGCTTTGTTTAAATGGCGTTGACTGTGCTGCCAACCTTTGTCAGCCACCACTGCATACAGCTCTATTATTATCGTCATAAAAATTCTCACGCAGCTGTGGCCTTATGAATGTTTGTTGTTGTTATTGGCATTTCTTGCATGCGTTTGGTTGTTGAGAACATTGGTTATTTGTAAAATAGTAGAAATACGAAATAAAGTATCTGTGTTTTGCCTGATTATTTCAGATTTCCGTACTTTATTTAAAATATACACCGCTGCGGTTAGGTTCGTCAGCAGCGCGAAATCAGTCGTCGCTGTGAATGCGACAAATTAGCAAGGAAAAATCGCATGCACATGTGTTCGCATTTTCATGCGTCGGCAGGTGTATATGCATGTGTGTGTATTTGAATTTGAGTACCGGTCATATTGAAAATTTAAGCCAACTAAGTGCAAACTAGATGGATAATGTGCATGGGTTTTTAGAAACAATTCATATACAAATATACAAAACTGAAATAAAATAGTAGTTTTTGTATAAAACACACAATATTGTAATAGTGGGAGAAAAAGTTATTCTGTAGTTATGTTTTTTTATTTTTAACCTCGCAGACTGTACTTGCCCATTGTTTGGCTTCGTTTTTTTTTGTATTCTGGGATCTTATTTCTTAGTTTTGTCCGGCAGCGTTAAAACGTTCATATACGGAAACTACGCGGTTGTAAAAAGTATGTAAATATGTGTACATATGGACGTATACGTATTGCCAAATGCAATGTTGTCTTTTAGACTGTGTTCACACAAGGGATCGTTAGTCGCCCAAATTGGTTTTTTTTAGACGAGGTGATTGTGAAGGAACTGTGCCGCTCGTGCTCAGGTAGCGTGCTCTCCTGTCGTGAACCGGTGGCAGGGCCTCCAAGATTGAACGATTTAAAACCGCTGGAAAGTTACTTGTTTACGCAAAGTCAGCGCGTTAAATTCTGGGCCATAATATTACATTATATGCGTTTTATTTCACAAACATAAATACGCTTTGACTGCAAATTTAAAATTTGTTCTAGTACATCAGTTGTCCATTTAATTTCAAGTTCGATATATTAAAAAAAACTTTTTAAGTATAAATAAAATCGGAAATAAATACTTTAAATTATTTGTCGAAATAAAAAATAATAATTATTATATTTTTTTAATATATATATATCATCAGCGATAAGTATGTGGTTGAAATATATATATAATATAAAGATATGAAAAATGTATAATTGGGCTTGGAAAGTGGAGAAATGTGCATAGAACTGATATAAAGACTATATATGTACATAGAATAGCAATAGTTACCGGAACTTGATTCATAACCAGTCAAGAAATCCCAATAATTTCATGTAAGCAAAACCACAGAAAGGATCCCCCGAGGTACGAACATGGTGAAATTGTTGTATCCGTCTGTTTTTATATATACTTCTAAATTAAAAAAAAAAAAAATAAATAAAAATGAATCGGTAAAGCTTGCAATAGGCCATTTTCCGATTTTTGCCACCCAAATTATTTGCACTACGGTATATACCTACATCATATTAGCTTAAGGCCTCAGATGCCATAGCTTCTACTTTATATATTGTTCTGTAATTTATTTATAGTTTCAATATTCTTGTAAATAAATAAATAAATGTATTGTTAACGACGAATTATGAATTAAAGTAATAATTTATTAAAATTGGTACACATTTTTTATATATTATATATACTAGTTAGTGACGTCAGAGCCATTGTATTACTAGCGCTCCTTTTTTTATTTACTTGGCAATACCGTCTTGGTTTTGACAGCGATGACGTTTTAAAACGTAGAAAACAAAATAAAGAGGAATCGCAAAGAATACTCATTTCGTTTTGTGTAGAGTTTCGAAAAAATTATCTTCATTGATTTTCTGAGTTGCATCGTGGTTATTCCGGAGGTTTTGCACTTCCATAGTGAAATTATAAAAATACATTTGATAGTGTTAGAATAACAAAAAACTAGTTGAAACTATGAATCGGTCACGTCGCCCACCTCAAAAGAGGAATTTTGTGTCTGGCGGAATATATGTAAGTAAATCATTCTTATTTTTATAAAGGTGTATATTTTTCAAGTTATGTGTATCTATCGTTCAATCGATTATCCAATTTATACCAAATATATTATTGTGTACTGAAAATCTTTATAAATCTAGACAATTTTAAAGTTTATGTGTATATCTTTTTAATTGAGTAATCAAATTATATGAAATATATTAGTGTATACCCAAAGAGTCTAAAAAAAATCAGGACATAGTTGAATTTAAGAATGTCTTCTAGATATGAGATTGTATTACACGTAATTTTCTACGCTTGGATTTGGGTATATGAATTCGTACATACAATATTAATTCTGGTTTTCCAAGCAAGAACTTTCTGTAAAAAACGTCATAGATCTATTATATATGTACACACATACATATGTATGTATGAATGACTCAAGATCTGTTTGCGTATTTGGCTCGACAGTTTGCGACATGTTGTGAAATTTATATACAAACGGGCTTGGACAGGTGTTTCGCGAAACGCTTTCGGAGAATACGTCTCTTTAATTTGCTTATGAGAACTTAGCTTTTATTGCATATCTTTTCAAAAAGGTCCATTACTATTCTTTTTATATTTTCGATGCGTGCAAATTTCACCCATAATTGTTTATTAAAATAATTAAAATTGTTTAGCTTTAGCTTTTTACTGTTGACAATTTGAATAAGCCCTATTTTTACATAGACTAACTATATAAGCAAAGATATTTATTTACATATATACATTTATAAGTATGTATCTACAAAAAATATTAAGTCATATTTGTATAGGAATTGTATATTTTTGAGAATACCAGCACTAAATTAACAAAATTCTACATTGGGTTAACTTATTCATTATTTTATTTCTTTATAATTTGCAGTGGCAAAGGTTGGTAACTGTTTAGTGCCCTGTACAATAGATTTGTTTGCAATAATTTTTAAAGCGACTCTAATCCGATTGCAGACTTGTCATAACCGCAATCGTTTGCACAATTTTAGCTATCAATTTGATAAATTGAATGCATTAATTGCGTGTATGGTGCGTAGGAAAAAGCTATGACAAGCAGACATTCTTGGAATGGTAGACATTCGGGAGTATTGCGTTTTACAAGTTGTTGGAAATGAGTCTATTTGATTTCTTAAATATTAGTTTTGTATATCATAGTTATGTACATTTACTTCGCTGTAAACTCAAACGAATATCCATAGGGCATAGATTAGAGTAAACACTACAACTAAGAATATTTGTATTTGTCATGCTCTTTATAGTGACAATTTGTCCTATAGATGCAATGAAATCGTTTTAGTTACATATGCAAATTACACATTTGATTTAGAATTAATCAAGCCTCCATTCGGTGTGTACACATTTTACATTTTTATAGTCTCAAAAAATGTCGAAAAAAATACTTAGTTCTGCCATAAGTGTTGCTACCAGATAAAATGTGTAAACATTCGTTAGGGATGATTTTTTCTTAAAAAAAATGTGCCTACAGATAAATAATAAGCATATGCGAAAATACATCTGTATATAATATTATACATATTATGTACATATCTAAGTTCAATCATGTATCGCATACAATGATTGAATGCAATGGTATCAATTCCGACTGATCTTCTACATTCGTTTATTGTGTGTACTACAGTCAGCAGTTGTTAACACATTGAGTATTTTATGATGACATTGTTGACTAAGGTAATTAATGCTTTTAGCTGTTAAATTGAGTAGGTACAATAGTAGTTGAAAATTTCGTTTGAGCAGTGGTTGTAGGAATGTCCATAGCTATTGCTAAACTAAGGTTTTTGAGTTTGCAATATCAATTGAATGCGATGCCAGCATGAATCCATTAACAAGGAGCGAAAAACGTGGTTGCTCTGCAATTGATTGATTTAATCAGCAATACGAGACACGAAGTAATCAACCAGAAATGGAATGTGATAAGAAGTGCACGTAATTGGGGTTTGGTTTGTAAAACGCATTTGGTATTTGTAATAAATGTGTAAGAAATTGAATTCTTGTTGAAAATACAAATTTTGTTTAAGAAAACAATATTTATTTATACGTCAACTAATAATTTATATTTTCATATCTAAAAACAATGTTTAGGATCCGCGACAATCTTATATTAATCAACAAGGAAATCAAGGCACACCATATCAAAGACGCCAAAATCAAAATTTTGACAATAAAACTATCCGGAATGAGAATACGCACCAAGCGCAGCAAGAAAATAAGGCACAAGAGCAACAGAGATATGAGAATACACAACCGCCGCCATTAGAGCCACCCCCACAACCACCACAAATGGAAGAAGATCCAGCAGAGGAAGAAGAAGTCAAAGTGGAAGATTCTGGCCTATACGATGAAAGTGGAAAATTGCAGTACAAGAATATTTTCCGTACGCGCAAGAAGTCTTCCGGTATGCATTATAATTCATTATTTTTAATTATACAAAGTTTTTAACACTTTTAATAGAAATCTCAGAGAACTGAACTGACTGATCAAAATCAATAAAATGTAATTAGCCCTACTACCAGTAATTAGGGTAATTACCCGTATATATTCTATATCCTTTTATGTCATACGAAATGTTCCTGTGAATTCTATTATAGCTTCAGTGCTGCTGAAGTTAACGTTTTTCTTGTTATTATTTACACTTTTATTGAAACTATTTTTTTCCTCTACTACACAGTTCGTGCCAAGGAGAAGAAAATACGTCAAAATCGTCAATTGCGCAAAACACTAATTCCCAAGAATGCTTTGATGGTTCTGAATGAGGTCGTTGGCTTGACAATTAGCGAATTTACTATTACCACTGCTTCAGGTGGTGGATTTGTAGCTGTTGTTACGGTTAATGATAAACAATATGAAGGCAAAGGTCATTCTAAGATAGCTGCTAAAAATAGTGCCAGCGAGAAGGCATTACGCGATTATGTGTTGGAGAAAATGCGTGAAAAGCCACGATTGCGTAAGAGCTCAGTTAATAATGATGAGTCCGTGGAAATGGCCGTTGATGCTCCCAATGGTAAGAGAAAAAGGATTATATAATTATTAGAAAATGATATTCACAACAATGTGTTTGGTTTAGAATCGGTCAGCGAGAACGGAGAAGACGGGCAGCAGGATAATTCTGGCACATCAGCGCTAATCGATGATGTGCCCATGGTTAATTTGGCTTCATTCGCTATTTTTAAACTGTTTACTGAATGGGAGAACGAGGGTTATGTTGTACCCGAGTTGCGTGTTGCTCATCCGCCGCAAACAGGTTCTGGCAACGACAGCACCAATGGAGATGGAAATCCTCTATTTAAGCCGCCAAAGGCGGCACCAATTCGCTCTGAATTGCCAAGCAATTGGGAATCAATTCATCCTTCTACTTTACTCTGTATGGTAAGTGAAAATGTTAATTTCTGCTGTATGTATATTGCATTATGAGTATGCCATTTTGCGATGTTCTAAGTAAAAGAATGAAGATCTTGAATTTTGAAAACCATTAAACGAAATTCCTTTTATAATTCAGATGCGTCCAGGATTGCAGTATCGCGAAATTGGTACAGTAGGCGACCCACCAAATGTATTACAGCGCATGGGCGTTACTGTTGACGAAGTGGACTATGAAAGCTCTGGTCGTTCTAAGAAAACTGCTCGCCGAAATGTGGCCGTTTGTGTGCTTAACGAATTGTTCGGTACCAATTTTGTCAAGGAGCCACCATTTGAAGAATAAATAAAATAAAATTCTTTACTTATGATAGTATTGAACATATGTATTTACAGTAGTAGACTTTAAATCCTAACCAATCTTCAAACTTCAGTATACAAATTAGATTTTACTAAATAATTACTGAACTTTACAAATAAAAAAAAATCATTTGGAATAATGATCCTTTTTATTATATATTCTTAAGCGTTTTCTAAAGCTCACTGCTACAAGAATTTTGATGGAAATAAATATAAAAGTCGATCTTTATAAAACTAAAAGAGAGGTTTGGTTTTGTTGTTTTTCTGGAGAAACTTTTTCTTTTTATTGGCATATAAACAGCTTACGCAGTTATAGCTGGAAAAAAAGTTTACTTTCAAAAATTAGTCCATTCAAGTATACATGTTTTCATGGGAGCTATATATTGCTATAGTAGTCTGATCTCGACGGTTCCGACAATTGAGTAGCTTCTTGGAGAGAAAGGGATATTACAAAATTCCACATCAAAAGCGTATAGGTATACGTGCGGACAGATATACAAAAGGCATGGTAAATCGATTCAGTTCGTCACACTGATACTTTGTAGCGTTTCTTCGTTTTCTTATGTGGGCTACAAACTTCTTGGCAAACTTAATATACCCTGTCTAGGGTATAAAAATTAGAATAAAAGCAAAAATAATGTAAAAAAGACGTGTGTTTTTCTTTTGATATATTATAACAGTAATGAAAATAAAAATAGTAATTTTACAAAAACAAATTCTAATCAAAAATCATATTTCAATATCAGTACAATTCGTATTTAACGTTTTTTTTTTCACCCATATTTAGTCGCTGTAATTTAACAATAAAAATACATACAATGTTTTTATATGCCTGCTTTATTATTTTTATGACAATAAAATATTAGTTTCATATTTTGGCTTTACAGAAATCTTATATCTGACCCAGTTGTTAATTGGTTGTTCTTAACTTTCTTTCGATTTGCTTTTACATATACCTTTCTATATGTACATATGTATTATTTTGTCGACGGCGCATAGACTGCTTTAATTGCAATTTTAGCTTGCTTTTATGCTTCGACGTACGGTACTTATCTTTATATATGTATGTTATGTTTTACATTCAATTCAATTCGATAATTTGATTTCGTTTTGTTTGGTAACTTGATTGCAGCACTAAAAAGAAATGGTCGAGCAAAAAATGTAACAATTTAATACGCTTTTCATTTTAAATACCAACTCATATCATACCGCGGCGTTCGATCACCGATTATTGAAGAATCTACATCGAATCATTTCATCATTCACATTTCATATTTCGCTTTCTCACAAACATCTGCATGCAAATTTATTCAAACTTTGATTGTGTGTATATATATATATATGTGTGGATAGCATGGGTATAAATACGTACATGTGTTTGTGTGTTCTTCTATTATACTATTTGGAATGAATTTAAATGAAAAAAATAAAAGTACTTGTAATTGCTGACTTCAGGATGTAACATTGTAGTCTTTTTTTATATAATGGTATATGCCGCAAAAGTCTCTGTGCAACTTCTGAGAGACAAAAAACACTAATTACAAAATCATTTTAAAAGAATCATAAAAAATTATAGCTTGATTTTCATTTAAATTTTCGTACATTTTCGATTATTATTATATTTTTAGAATAGTGCGACCCAAGTGCGCAACCGTATCTACTACTCTTAACAAAAAAAAAAAAATTAAATAAAGTGGTAATTTTATTTTAGTAAAAATGGAATTTGCGCAGCAGAGCTCACTCACATTCAAATTTCATACTCAAAGAATGATTTGCGCTTATTTAAATATTAATTGTATACAATCGTTCACAATGACTCCGTCAATTAGTTTTCATTTACTGTTGTCTAAAAAAGTGAATTGCGAATACAAGTTATTTACGGGGATACATACATATGTACATCCATAAATTCTTATTATCCTTGCGTGTGTTTGAATGTACCTTTCTACATATCTACAAATGTCGGCCTCTTTTCCAGTATGCGCACAAATATCGTATGTAATGCAAAAGGCTAATTCATATACATACATATGTAACACGTATTCACGTACATATGTATATATATGACGAAAGTTTACATATAATATTTCTTAATGGTACAAACAACAATAAACACTTTACACACACCTCAGTCTCGTGTGCACAAATACGCACATTTGCACCGACATTTTATGTTACTTGAACGAACCTTTTTTCGTCATTCAAGTTATAAAAAAAAAGAACAAATTATTAATATTTTATTTATAAGAAATTGAATTTTTCAGACTTTTGATGCTGCATACTTGTATGCAAATATTTCTAATGCTATGCTCAAAAATATGTACGTTTATGTCTAGCATGGGAAAATATTTCTTTGCTGTGTTGTTTGGTTATTTTTTATGTTTTACATACGATATTTTTGTACTTGTAAACTTAATATATTTGAATTTGTATGGGTTTATGTATGTAGTTTATTTAGGTGGGCACATTGCGAATTTTTATTCCGAATGTTCAGAATTTAAAATTAAATAAATTCTCATTTCATGCTAAGAAAAAATATAGCATTTTATAAAAAGCTAACAATTTGAAATGAATAAAATTCGTTTACCTTAATAGGAATGAGATTCAATGCGATTAAAGA